CAATTACTGCCTATTACTGCTGTATGGAAGGATCATATATACACTCCCTATGTCCCATTAAAGACGGCCATCCAACTGGGCTAAACTTACCGCTGGAAGTGGTTTGAGCTAGTTCAGAACCAAGGTACTCACATGAATCTTTCCGTAAGTGGAGTCCTACAGCAGTAATGTTGCCCCAACAGTGTGATCTGGAAGAGCATATCTAAAGCAGCCTTTCCAAACTGAATGCCAGGACCCTGCTACCTTGCTAAAGAGCTGGAACCAAATCTCCCTCCCACTAATTCCAAACATTCATTGAAATATGTGGAAATGGAATGAATGTATTACCTCAAATCCCCATTTCAAGCCCCTTCACAAAGTTTGACTGGGTGTTCAAGCTGCTGTTCAGAAAAAAAAATGCAAATACAGCTTTAGGGCCCCAGAACTACTGAGCTCTGTGCTCATCAGTCCTTTAATGTACGCCAAATGGTCTTTTTGGTTCGAAATCATTTCATGCAATGCTAAGCAATGGCCTCATTGTTGCTTTTGCTGACTTGCAGTAAAGCAGTGGGATGCCAGGCTGCCACCATCAGAACATCTGCTTTATTGGGAAAGTATTTCAGCAGGCCTTGCCTTGTAACAAATGATGTGACCCTGGAAGGCAGATAGCACTCCTGCAGGCAAATAGCTCACAAAAGGTCAAAATCACCCGAAACTTCAGGAGCAGCGGCACTATTTCTGTCACCCTGCCCTACCCAGGGTCTTAGAACTGTAATGAATAAGGGACAAAATACATCGCCGAAGCTCTGAAGATAGATCCCAGTTGATGGACTGGGAGTCTTCTACCAGTGAAGAACATGAGAAGGGAGGGAAGGAGAGGAAAGCAGAGGAGAGGGGAATCCAGCTGTGAAGCTTTTTACTCTGCCACTGAAAACAGACCTACTCCTGGGACTGCTGCTTAGTTTGCCTCAGAATGAACTGGGGCTGCAATATGTGCCATATAAACTATTTCAGTTATGAAACAGGTTACAGAGTGCTTATACAAACAGCTTCACTAGCACACAGATACCTGTCCATCTTAATTTACAGCCTTTCCCAGAAGAGTCCCTCACAGTCTAACTTATTTTAAGGAGTTACTCATTTTCTTTGCATGAACATTATCTGGAAAGCACAATCACATACACACATAGTTTATATATATATATATGCTGGCATTTTCAGTACAGGTATGACATACAGCATATCAAAGGCCATAGGGATGAAGAGTAAATTAGTTGGCAAGATTATTTTCTACAGCAATTTCCTAGAAAAGGAACCATTTCCTAGAAAAGCCTACCATTACCCTCCAACCTCTTCTTCAATGAGCAGTGCAGTTGATTTCTACCTTCATTCTTATTAACCTTCCATGAAAGCACCACTGAGGACCTAATGAAGAATGCTGGGTAATTCTGGCATTATTGGATTTTTCGTTATTTATTTATTAGACATGAGAGCTGTTATCAGCAAGCAGCCAGGTGAGTCAAATCAGATAAAACATTATCTGATTCCTGTGCTGTAAATCAGATTTTAATAGAAAAAAAAATCTGTATCCCTTTGGGAGTGGAAAGAATATGTTTATAATGTGTTCTGAATGTGTGCTACACAATAGCAAGTATGGATAAAAAACATTTTCTCTAATCAATTTTCCACTTTCTTCTCCAAGTTCTTTCACCCATAAGATGAGAACTAAAATAAATGAAAGTTCTGTTTGTGCCAAGTGCTAGAAAATAACTAAGGTAAGATAAGCATGCATAAAAGCATGCATACATGTTGCATCCTCACACAGACACACAAAAAATACTGAATTCTGCAATATTAAAAATATAATCAAGACATTGCTGTTTCTCTCCTGGCAGAATAATTTACAGATTTCAGGTTTATCTAATTCAGCCATTGAAATGAGAGCTTTCGTTGCCTACTCTCAACCCCAATACACAGCTTCTGTCTTTCTTAGGTATTTATCCTTGTCTTTTTCTATTCAGAAGCTATGAAGTCTCATGACAGCACCTGTAGATTAGACACAGATAACATCTGACCACCCATTGAAGGTTTTACAAATTTTAATCAGCAGAGTAATCTAGATAAGCTCAGACGGAAATCAGTGTTAAACATTAAAAACCTTGATGTGAAGCCAGCTCTTTCTTGTACTGCAGTGTTATTTGAATTTTGAGTTGCTGGAAATTACTGTTTGCAAAAATGAGGGCTCCCCTCTCACCAAACGCATCATATTTGACTGTTCAGACACAACTGAAATTCCGGAATTAATTTATCACCCAGTTACTTAAAACAAATATTTTGAGGACTCAAAAATTACTTTTTAAAACCAAATTTGTTAGGTCATATTCAATTAATTCCATAACAAACTGAAGAAAAAGGCTTTTCATGTCATGTTTGGCTTAAAAATTCCATTTCTTTCATGATTTACACATAAAAATGAATTCATAACCAAACAATGTTATTCATTGAGGTTTATGAAAGTGTGCTTAGAGTGCCATTAACGAATGAACAGGGAAAGCTCTGCCACTGCCAGCCATCAGCAGCAATGCTGACATCTATGTCACACTTCAGTATCTTTTTATTCCCTTTTCTTCCCAGGTGAGCCTTTGCTTCTCCATCAAAATTTACAGGAGGACTAACATTTTAAAAAGTTACTGCAGAACTACAGGCAGCACAGAAGTCATTAACAAATGAAAGCTAATATCAAACTTAGGTTATCTGAATATAAGGCTTATTTATTAGGGAGAAAATCCAACCAAATAACTAACTACATGCTGTATTTGAGATATTGGTTTCCCTTTTGGGGGATGCAACTACCTTTTAATTTGTTTTATCAGTATCTGAACAATAACCTGATTCAAAATCTGTATTTGGATGAGTAAAGGATAGCTCCAGTCACTTGGGCACAAGAGCAGTTTCAGGTTGTAATGACCTTGGTGTCTCAGATAGATTAAACACCTTCAAGGAAGACCAGATCATTTTAGTTTTTATATATCTGTGATGATAATGCAGAGAAATAAATGAAGGAACTACAGCCTGTGAGAAATGTGAATACTGAGACTGACAGTGTAGCCTGTAATGGGGTACAGTGTACACATCACTAAGGAAAACACTGTAAAGGTCCAAGGTTTCCTCTTGGAAACAGCAACAAGGACTGGGAGAAGCAGAGATGGTGGTGTCACGTTAACATGAAACAAGTAGGAAACAGTCACTTGAATACTTTTTTGTCCCCCAGAAAAAGAAGAAAAAAGGCCAAATTAAGTGTAATAAAAATCCCCCTAGGTCCATATCTAGCTATGCCTCTAAGTAACCTGAAGAAGTTTATTACAGCACAACTAGACAGATAAACATGGAAGAAACTGGTATGTCAGCCCAATCCTAGATGCAAACTTACTATTTGTTACCATTGCACCTCTTGCTGCGTTCCCCTGCAGCTGGCACAGCTAGACTAGTAACCCCCTTCTCCTTAGCTTCAGAAGATCAGGCAATCATAATTTAGTAGCAACAAAGCCATGTCATTTGTGGGAGCAAACAGGTCATCTTTAAAATTACCATCTTTCTAATGAGCCCCTTGTAAATCTGATGAAATTTATGTCATTAAACTCAAAAAAATTCTGATGTATCTGAAAAATAACTTTCTAAACCAAAAATCAAAGCCACAAGAAAGGACTGCAACCTCACAGCATCTACCACATTTTGATCCACAGAGTACCCTTTTGCAAAGCGACACAGGCTTCAGAGATGCTCCCTTCATTAGCATGAGGCTGGTTTGAGCTTCTTTCACCTCGGTCTGGAGGGTAGAACATTTACTGAGAAATAAGTAGTCCCTCAGTGCAACAGGCCGCAAAATTCACTGTACAACATGAGATGAGCAGATGGAAGATTCAGTACCTTACTTGTCAACTGTACTTATCAGTACAAATGAAAATATTGGACTCTTTCAAATTAAGAGAACATCCCTTATACAATACATTCAGCTTACATTCCAGTTTAAAAGGATGAAAACATCACTAGCCAGAGAGCTCTTTACTTGGCAAGTCTCTCATATCCTGAAATTAATGCCATATTTATATTTTTTTATCATTAGTGAGCTACTAATGCCTACCACCTCCTTAACTGCACATGCTCAAACACTCAGTGGAACAAGACACGCCCTAGACTAGCACAGGTGCTGCTGGCCAGCACAGTGGGTCAACCTCAGATTAATTACTAGCCAATGAAGGCACTTCACTGCAAACTTGAGAACCATGTGCCCTTTCTACATGGGATGATTCTAAAGTCTGGCCATGTAAATCAGATTGCACGACCAGAGCCTCTCAAATTACTCCTTTGGTTCTGTTAAGTTTTAATGAAACTTTATCTAAAATATCCCATTATTTTCCTGAGTAAATACATCCTAAATGACTCAGTGTGGGAGAAGGGGGCAGAAGGATGAAGATGGTTTCCATTTTTTTGGTCAAGAAACCTCCTTTCTCTACCGATAAATGTTCCTGTTCTAGATCAAATGTACTTTTTCCCACTTTAAAATAAGAAAAAGATCTATTCATTCAGAGTTGACAAACAGACAATATACATGAAGAAGTTCAGGAGAAGTGAGGTAGCTTTAATAATCTGTATCACATTATTATTTGTCTGTTGTAACTTTATGGCTTATAACCAGGAGTTTAGGCACTTGCAGCTTCCCCTCCCTGGAGGGCAATGTATTAAGATGGTAATGTATCATGACCTCAACAAATGTTCTATTTAAACAGCACAATGACTCCCAAATGGAAAACATGTTTCCGCCTGCGATATCTCAGGTTTAAATATATTTATCTTCTTTTTTTTTTAAAAAACCCCTCCATTTCTAGAAAAAAATGGCCTGGCAGGGATTCAGTGCCATGCTCCACCTTCAAATACCTAAGGCCCTTCAGCACTGGTGAGACTGGTGTAAACGTGCAGTTAGGATAACGTCAAACCCACCATCCCAGAGGTGTCTGACTTACTGAGGTTCCACCTGAGGCCTGTCGTGGTCACGCTCTCGCAGGAATTCCCAATGGGGATGAGGCCACACCAGGTGCCTTCCAGTCCCGTGTCCACATGCAACTTGTGCTTGCCCTGCAAGACAGAATGGCCTCTGGAGTCAGTGCTCACCAGGGACGCAAATGGCATTTGCCAACAGACCTTGCAAATAAAACAGAAAGTACTTAGATGGAGACAGATCCAGAGTGTCCCTCAAAAGCTCAGGAATATTTGGCTGCAGGAATTCAGGTCATTGGTGTTTACAGAGAGAGGAGAGACGTGTGCTTAGGTTCCAGACCTCAGGGCTTTCAAAAAGTTTGTTTCTGGGCTTTTCTAAGCAGAATCTGGCTTTGCTCATTCTTCCCTGGCATTTTTTGAAGAGGTCAAAGCTAGGCTCTTTATTCTTGTGAAATGAAGGCGTCCTGACCCATTCATTTGTTTTTTTCCTCATCTAAACATCTGTGTTTGACTTCCTAAACAACGCTAGTCAAAGCACCACTGAAACTCCTTCATTATTTTGACAACATCTGTAAAATTTCATGTACTTCTTCAGGGATGTACTCTTTCCAGAAGGAAGAATATGTGTAGAAACTTAACTAGGTGCTAGAGAAATTAACCTAAATATTTAGAGCAACATGCTTACACAAAGTAAGAAGAACAAAGTGAAATTAAAATACATTTTTTGTACATCTAAGATAAATTCATCTTGTAACTATCAAGTTCATGGGATGCAGGAGAAGCAGCAGCTATTAATGATGATGGATTTATGACCAAGCTGTTAATTAGTACTTATAGACCCTGTGTGAACATCTTGCGAGGTATCAGCATATGAACAGTTGCAAGGAAGAGTAGATAGTGGAAATCTTTTACAGAGTGAAAAAAACCCAAACAAACCACCCTGAATGTTAGAGTTCTGGCACAATTTGTGTTCTAAGAAACCAAGAAATTGTTTATGAAAACTAGCTACAAGAAAACAGCAAATGCGAAACAGTGACAAGATCAGTGGAGAAATCATCCTCTGGCCTCTTCTACACAGGTAATTTATTCTTTCAAATAAACATGGGCTTCATCTGGGGGAAACGTTAGGGTTCTTTGAAATAGAGGATTTTGGGGGTTTTATTTTATCCTCTTGTGGATGCACAGGCAAGTTAAACCCCTGAGCATGTCTTTTACACACAAATTCTTCATCACTATAAATAAAATCACATATGCCTATTTATTAATCTACTAAAATAAAAGAACTCTCTGAAACCCAATGAGTATTCAGCGAGTACTTTGTTAAGCAAGAAACCAAGGTTTTATACCAAAAGAAAAAAGAACAGCTGAAGTGTGAAACTCAGGTAAATGTCCCAAGCAGCAAAAATACTTTCTCACAAATTTTCTTTTGGGGAATGTATTTAAGCTTTTTTCTTATGTCCTGTCCTCTCATATGCTCATTCCAAATGCCCTTGCAAATATAAAGTCACTAGTTATATAGTCAAACCTGGAGGCAAAATATCTTATTGCTGAGATGTTGATGTCTGAGGCGTTCGACAGCTTCTCCTGTTAATGCCAAATGCATTATGAAGAAACAACTTCAATACATGTCATGCTCTCAGTTAACAAATGAACCTTGGAAAAGCTGTCAATTAGGGAGTATCAGATTGCATAGCTTAAGCCTGTTTGATTGTTTGCAGAGCAACAAGAAAACCAATCCAATATCATCTATCTTCTCAGGGTGTCCAGCTTCATGTGGTGATGAGCCATGTATTTCTACAGTGGTTGCAAATGCTTGCCTGCCAAAGTCAGAGGTGTAACAAATTCAGGCTTGATAACCTTTTAGCTATGCAATATGCCATGCTACTTCTCTCTCGCAGTACAGAGGGAGGAGGAAAGGGAGAGGAGAGTTACAAGTACAAGCTCTCTTGTTATGCAATTGCAGATACTGTCTATAATGAAGCTGATGACGAAGGAGAGAATGAAGGGGTAGGACTGTCTGTTCTCAATGAATGTACATATTGCTGCTCAGAGCTACTTAAGGAGAGGAGCACACTCACTACATTTATCAATTAGTAAAGGAATATGAAAAAGAGAGGTAAAAGTAACTGGCCCGACAGAGAACCTGATTAAGTCCTGTATTCTCAAAAACTGTGTCTACCTACTATTAGGTTTGCATTTCCTATTTTATGACATTCTGGCCCAGCTTCCAGATAGGGATTCAATTCAATAGAATTTTATGCAGAAAGCCGCCTTTCTGTGCTCATGAAATAAATCTTTAAAACAAAAGATGCCATTACCAGAGGCTTGCCAATATCCAGGATTTTTTCAGGAATCTTTCTATGTCTGATACTTCCCTAAAATCCCAGTTCACACATCCCAGTGATTATATGAGAATCTTGACTTTCTTCCCTAAAAGGACATTTTCTAGCCCTCAGTTGTTACAAGAAATTTCAAACTAGGAGCCCAAAGGGCTAAACCCAAGGCAGCAAGTAAACAGGAATTGAAATATTAAAATGCAAATTATTTTTTTAAAAAAGTCTCAACTGTTAAGCCAAACTCATGGCTTAGGGATTGGTTCACTGATATTACACAAGACAGTTTTTAAGACTTTTCTTTAAATAGATCAATAAGGGATCTTAATATTATTAGGCACAGTGGGGACAGAAAAGGGAAATGATCACTGGGAAAAAACAAACAAAACCCCCCAAATAACCCACTCATTTTTGCAAAAAAAAAAAAAATTAATCAGCCAATGCATTTGTACAGTAAGGCTCTAAATTCGAAGCACTGTGAGTCTGCCATGGGGAAAATGAGGTGCCCAAGCTTACCTTCAAATTTTTGAGTACAGATCTTTCAACCAAGCAAGATGGAACTGCTATTTGCAGGAGGAAGAGAGGATCAGAGCTTGTAATTTGCAAATATAAGTAATAATTTGTTCTATTTAAGTCTCTGTGATTAAAGGAACAATTATATACTGGCACTTAAAATATGAAACTGTTTTCAGTTTCTGCAGAACTCAAAGTTCCAAAATTAGGATTAAAAAGAAAACCAATTTTTGACTAAATAAATCCTTCCTTCTTAAGTATTTTTGCCTCTGTAGGAGGTAACTGAAATATTTTCACATTTAACTTAAGAATCAAATATTACCATGTTTGAATGATACTGGTGATAAAATAATGGCAAATAATACAGCTGCATTGATTTTTATCTTATTAAGTCAGTTTTGAAAAACATTGATCAATCTTCAGCATTGATTTTTTTTTCTTCGTTTTGTCTCTGATGCTGGGAAATAAGATCAATTTCTAAGTTCAGCAATAAGAAAAAAATATCAGAAGATGTTTTTAATAATGCTTCATCCATATAGGTTAAACTTTTCCTTTTGATTCTAATGTCTTGTGTTATAATAAAGCATTTAAGCAGTGGTGGTTAAATATAAACCCACTCCAACCCCGTTTTTTGCAGAGGAAAGACCTAAAGACATAGTTGTTCTCTGTCACACCTCCTAACTTAAATGAATGGAATTCTGATTGCCAGGAATTCATATACCTAACCTTATTCAAGGTTGTAAGACACTAAAATCCTTAGTCAAAAGTTTGCAAGCTGAAAAGCATATGAACAGTATCAAGATAAAAGCTGGTAGCTTCTACGCATGCACAGATACCCCACAGGCACTTCATAAAAGTATAGAGAAAATTACTTCTACAAGTGCTTTCCAGACCAACTTGAATAAATGTACGCAATAAATGTATACCTTAAAATAGATATCAAGCAATGAAATGTTATGAAAGAGAGAGAATGGGGACTGATCTTCAGTACTGTGTTCTGAAGGGATCTGAAGGAGGGAAGCCTGGAACCTGGCAGGTTGAAACTGGACACAGAGGAGAGGCACAAAGACAGTTAAGATGCTGGGGAAGAACAAGGAATTAAAATTAAGCTTTAAAAAGCAAATGAAGAAAGATAAAATAAACAGATCTCAGAAACTGCTGAAGGACTAGGCCATGTGAAAGGTAACAGGGAAGGAAAAGGAACAAGTTACAGGATTAGAGGACAAAGCAACCTTATTCTAATTTTCAGGCTGCCCTGACAGTTTGTCCACTATAAATAAATCTACTGAATAACTTATCTCCTAGAAGTTGCTGATTTTCTAAACAGCATACTTTCACCTGTGAAATCTGGGACTACAGAGAAACAGGATTTCTTGAGATCTGGCCAACTGCTCTATGATACCTTCTCCACTAGCTAGATCTTGTTTTCCATAATATTTTGATAAAACATCTTTTTATATCAGACTTATTTCAATGATTACTCCATAGATGGCAGCACACACTTGAAAACAACAACAGCAGCAAAAAACTAAATACAGATGTCATAGTGTTACCCAGGGAAAAGGCAAAAAACACAATCTGTTTTAGCACATAAACATCTGGGTGCAGAAGATAGTATATAGAAAAAAGACTCAGAGAATGGGTGGAAATCAACACGATCACCAAAGACTGCAGCAGAGAGGAGGAGGAAAGCAACAAGGATGAAACCAAGCTGAGAGCATTTGTGTTTAAAATAAAATTCAACATTTATGTTTAAAATCAGCGGTTCAAGGCCAGGTTGGATGGGGCTTTGAGCAACCTGGTCTAGTGGAAGGTGTCCCTGCAGTTGGGTTGGAACTAGATGATCTTTAAGGTCCCTTCCAACCCAAACCATTCTATGATTCCATGATTCTATAATAAATGTCATGATTGGCAATAAAGTAAAAATGAAGTTCCAGAAATTTTTCTACTAATCATTAGTTGTGTAAAAGCTTGACTTAACAATAATGAAAGCTTTTAGGCTGAGATTCTGAGCATGATAAATACAGCCAATTTTTTAAAAAGGATGTATCTAAGAAGAGCTATTTTGTTATAACCCTAAAACATCATCAATTGTCTTTTCAAACAAATACACATAGTGCCAAGTTGCTATTACATGAATGCTATTCAAAGAACGTTATCTGAGCCAGCCAGGCTTTTTGTTGCTATTGAAAATAAAAGTATCCACAGTTCCAGTGAAAACTCAGAAGTCTAAAAGCTCTTCTATATCATATCAATGACTGCTTAAACTCATATGGTAAAACCAGCAAATTT